ATCTCGTCGTCCTCTACAAGAAAGGTTGTATTCAATTTTCCTGTAAATGCAACAGTTTAGGAGTAATTGAAGAAAAACGAAATTTTTTGTCAAAAGTTGGCTGATTCGACGGTGGAATGGTCGGATTTTCTCAGAACCTATAAAATGCCAATTAATCATAGTTAACTCGTTAAATATCGAAATTAGAAGAAAAACAACTTTTATTTCAAGCATTTTTCGAAATCTTGAGAAAAATATTTCAATTTTCCGAGATTTTATCAAGGAATAAAATTATGTCAAAATCTAGCAGCATCAATGCCAGATCGAGCATTGAAAAAACAGAAGTTTTATTACTGTTTTTTAATCTTGTCTTCCTAGAGAAAATTAATACAAGCCGGAGCTGGCCAGGAATCATTGCCCATATAGACATTTATACGTAATTTATACGTAAATGATGGGTTGATACAACATCGACTGTCATTCCTATAAAAATTACAGGACTTATAAAATATTCGCTTTATATAAACAAAATCTGTTGATTCATGTCCGTGAGAAAAATGAAAAGGAATGTTGTCGAATGCATAATATTGAAATCTCCGCAGACTGTAGGTCACGAGGGGTTAATCGCGGGATTCCATGATGAGAAACGAAAAACGTTGACCCGGTAAAAGTAAAGAGTGCGGATAAGGAACTACGTAGGCTGCTCGCGCCTCCGGGGTAGAATCTAAGACGAGAGGTAAAAGATGGTTATTGAGAAGCGATCACGCCGAGGCGTCCGTCCGTCCGCCTCGAGGAGCGTGAGTACGGTGACCCGAGGCAAAATCGTTAAGCGGCGAGTTACGTGCCGATCGGTAACACCGAAGACGATTTGGAGCGGCCCGTGTACGTACACGCGACACTTCTCGCACACTTGCACAAAATTACGTACCGCGTTTGATGCGCAACGCACCGAAGCGGGTGGTTGCGCAATCCCCCATCGGTTGCGAACCCGTCGTCGTTGCTCTCTATAAACCATCTAACGTCGATGATGATGACCCCGCGTGCACGAAACGGCCGACATAATTACAAAGATGTAACGCATGCATTTGAATTCGTACGCAATCTTCAATACCGAAGCTGCCGCCGCCGCCGTCGCTCATCCCTGTACTTTTCTCTTACCAACGCGGCAACCTGTCCTTTTTTTTTCTCACAACGAAGACTCGCGTGGTCCCTTCGCCTGTCTATATTTCTTATACATGCCATTCTCGATTCACTTTCATGTCGACCCGATTAGTCGACCTTCAGGTCCGATGGGATGCCCGACGATCTGTATCACCTCGCTTGCGCAACCCCTCGACTTACATCTTTCACGGAGGCTCATCCTCGGTCACCGTGTTCCGTCTCGTTTCTATCTCGGGACTCGGTCTCCGTCGGTCGCACGGTTAACCGAGTTCGCGAACTTCGAGGGACGCTGTGCCGGGTGTTCACCACTGCTGAGAATCTTCCTCCGTTGCCGGGTGGGAGGAAGACGATCCACGAATCGGTATATAAGCACGGTTGCTTCGACCTGAATCTGCACAGACCAATTATTGCCATCGTTTCACGATACGAGGAATCCGCGAGGCTCGCTTCTTACGCATATCGGACGATTCTACGGCGAGATGAGATCGGTACGAGTACACACCTGTTATTATATCTTCCTTATTCGCGACTAATTACCAGTTGATCGACGGAATCGACGATCTCTTAAAGAGTCGCGAGTTTCAGTGATTGATGAACCTCCTCTAATAACGTATTTTAACATTTAACATAACAACTTGATTGCTTAGCTTTATTTGATGTCGATTAAAATCAGTGATACACAAAGTGTGAAAACTTGTCAGTGACGATAGACAAGAAAACGATGTCCCAATCGAATTTTATAACCAGACGATTTTATGTAATTATTGAAAAATTCTACAGTGGATGTAAAGAACGTTTGGCGTGTTCTTAAATATAAAAAATACTAAAAGACGAGTGGCTGTTGCGATGTTCAAATGATAAAAGAAATGCCTATTTAGAATGCATTTTTGAAACATTTTATTAAAAGAGAATTCAGAATTTCTTCAAGTCAGTATTCAGGATTCATTATTCGATTATATATCTATAAATTTGTTAATTATTTTAACAGCTCGCTGTGGCGTTGCTGGCCGTCGTTGGCACGTGCCACGCAGCTCGACTGGACAACACTTACCTTCCCCCGGGCAATGCGGGCAGCGCAGGTGGTGCAGGTTTAATTCAAACTCCTCATCGTGGAGGGGGTGGTGGTCCAGGAGGTCCAGGAGGTCCTGGCGGTCCGGGAGGACACGGTGGCCCAGGGGGACCCGGTAGACCAGGTGGACCTGGTGGTCCCGGCGGTCCCGGCGGTCCTGGATTTGGAGGTGGAGGTGGTGGCTCTTACGGCGGTGGTCCCGGAGGTGGAGGCGGAGGCGGTGGCTCTTATGGCGGTGGTCCCGGAGGTGGAGGTGGTGGTGGTGGATTCGGTCGTAAGTATTGACTTTCGATTAAATTCAATAAAAATATAAATCATGAGAGGAATTTCATAAATCGTGTAATAATATATAAATAGATAATAGAATATACATTTTATTTTCACCTCTTTTCTTCAAAAGCTTCTCCATATGAGATCAACAATTAAGTTAATGCCATTACGTATTATACTTCTAATCTCTTTTCCTTTTCATAAATTTCCTGACCCACGCCTTGTCATTTCCCACTTCATATCAGTATAATTAAATTATCTAATAAAATAAAATAGAATTATTAAATTACGTAATAATATAATACAATGAATGTCACAATTTTTTTCATTGACTTAAGATTACATATGGAGTCATAAAAAAGGAGGCAATCGGTAGAAATCGTGAATTAGGACATTTACCGTAAATCAAGTGAACAGAATTATTTATTTGCTCATGACAGATTAATGTACGGTGCTGCAACAAATTGTATAATATTATTAAGGCCAGTATATCATATTATTAGTTAATGTCGGTGCGGAGAGATGAAAAATAGTATACTGAAAGCATCGATCACTTTTTGACGTTTAACTATCGCCGTCACTTATCATTATTTATATAATCGTAACGCAAGGTAGTCGGGTGAAAGTAATAACCATGGATTAATGCCTTCTCACGATAAGATATCGTAATTAATTTTGTACCGTCGATCGCACGAAATTGAACATTTCTCGAACAACTTTTTTGTACCTTATTGAGCAACCGGGAGAAAACGTGTACTTAACGCGAGTACTCGTTCAATCTGCTGTTAGTATATTGTTCTTTTAGCCTCTCGACGGTTGCCTCCTCCTGTGCCGGTGCAGACGCTTCACACATCATTAAAATGATTATTGCAATAAAACGGGACGGAAATCTTCTCGCGCTCCGTGAAAAAGTTAACGTAACGAATTACTCGATCGCGCAACTGAATCGCGGGGACAGGCCTGATAGAGAAAATCGGATTCCGGGGTGGCTGAGCTTACGTCAGAAAATATCGATGGAGAGAAATCGGTCGACGGTTCGAGTTGCATAAAAATATGTAAACTATGCCGCGGGACGAAGCCTCGTGTCGCGAGGGAAAAGTGAAAACCGTGGTAGAACGGCTAATCACTTTATCCCTCGAGGTGCTCTTCTAATGAAGACGTACACGTACCTACTCTCTTCGCATTTAATTCGAAGACGGTGAGAATCCGTGACGAGTTGCGAAAATAAGTACGTCAGAACGCGTCTCGTTTGTGTCTCCTTTTGTACGTTGTCGCGGGCGAGTAATTAGGTTCCATTCAGTTACGGATTAATCTCATATGTTGGCGGATTTCACCTCGGAATGGCGCAACTCGGAGGATTGCACAGATATACATCGATAAAAACTCGAGTACGGGACGAAAAGGGAGACGCGTCCTGTCCGATTCGACTGAATAATGTATCTGTTCGAAGTGACAGGTTTTTAGGTTACTAGCCAATCGGAAACTTTCTCGGAATAGCTTTAAAATCGGTTAGAGAACACGTGAGCTCGAGACTTCGCTCAGTAATGTAACTTTCATCCATTATCTACAATAATTAATTATCTTTTTGATTGAAATTATTGATGAATCATCGATTAAATTGAATTGTTTATATATTTTCAGCTGGAGGTGGTGGGCCAAGAGGAGGAGGTCAAGAGATTCCTATCGTTTCGTTTAACAGCCAGAACAGCGGCGACGGCAACTACCAGTTCAGCTACGAAACAGGAAATGGTATCAGTGCGCAGGAAACGGGTCAACTGCAAGGTGAGATCAGGGCCATTCTCGTTTCCCAACTTACGTACATCTTTTCTTCTCGGTCCGTCGCTGCCATTTCTCGCCGTTATGAATATTCCTATCCATCATCCGTACACGAACCTCGTTTCATTCTATCTCACGATGGAACCGGCCCGGTGAACACAATAACGGAATTTCTGAAACATCCTACTCGATCCTCGGCATTCGCAGATCTTTCAGATTCTCAACATTTCTCTTTACAACTAAGCTGTTAATCAAAAAGATTATGCAAGTAAATTTATCCTGCTTCTACCTTCTACTTC